GAGCCGGGGTATAACATATCAATCCTTCTTCATTTCATACAACGGAAAGTAGACGTGGCTATCGAGGAGATCTGAGTAGTATTCGTGAATTATTTTCTCCATTTCCTTACTGGACGCTGTAACTGTTCCGTCTGGGCGTCGGAGTGCCATCATCTTGGTGTGGCAATTGGCGAAGCTTCGGTGGGCTTTGTAAATTCTTTTCCCAGCACCTACAGCTTCGACCATTACTGCTGCTCTCCTCTCTTTCAGATGTTCTTTTGTCGGGTGCTTGCATTGTTTTGCAAGTTCGGATGTTAGTTCGCGGTTGCCTGCTGGTCGTGCGATTACACGCTGGCGTATCAGCTCGAGTGTTTCTGGAGACAAACTTCTCTTGGTGACTTTCGTACTGACAGCTTTTATAGCACTAACGTGAAGATGTTGAATGAGCCGTTCGCATTCCTCGTCCATGTTACCGACAACGGCATCTTCCTCCCAACAGCCGACTAATGGATTGAATAAGTCCCAATTTACGGTGGTTCTGGGAGTTCGGTTTTCGAATTTAACGGCTTTTTCTCCTTTCCGCAAGAAATTGAATCTTGCACGAAGGAGACGATCCAGCGTAGAATTTTGGGACAACAGCGACATCGGTTGGGCAAAACCCTCTATTTACTATGATGTGGTCTATTTCGTTATGATACTCTCTATTAGGAGACTCCTACATCCAGCGTTAAGGGTGGGGCTTCTGGAATTGCGAGATACCATGGATGGTCTTGGCCGCCATGATAAACTCAGATAGCGGCTCAGTTGTTCGCTCCATTCTAATCCGTGGGTTGCAATGTGGTGTTCTTCAGGAGTTCTTCTTAGTCTAATCTTGGCGTTGAAATCTCCAATGATGATCTTGAAGAATGTACGGTCTTCTCTGTAGAACTTCTCCAAGTCCATATAGAAGACTTCGACTTCTTCTTCGTCATAGTTTGATGTCTGCGCGTAAACGACGAAAATTGATAAAGCCACATCTTTTCAATCGTAAACGTCCGATTCGAGTTGTACGCTGTTCGAATGAGTCGACCTTCGTGGACAAACTCGTGTTACGCCGACGCCGCCGACTCCTCTACTGTCGAACGTTCCGAGGAACAGTTCTTCTCCGGTGTCATAGACGACGTTGAATGGGTGACGTCGTCTCGTCTCGGCCAGGCCGATATCGTCGTATCTTATCCTTCTTGCGTACATGAACAAGTCTTCCATCGAGGGCTCGGATGCAAGTGTACGTTCATTGTAGATACAGATCGTCACCATAGTTCTTCGTGATCCAGGTAGCCTACATCGGCCTTGAGATTTTAGCAGCTTCTCCGTACTCGTCTTACCCAACGCTGCGAGATTGGGGGCTCTTTCGGGGTCAGGGGAATGAGGCCCGTTTTTTACACTGTTTTTAGCTTTTTACTACCCGCGTATAGCTCGTTGGGCTCTGAGCAAGTGGGCTGGGTATACACACAGGTAGTTTGCCAGGCTCTCCCTGAGTGGACATGGAGTTTGTTGGAGGCGACTCCTAACCGCCTCCCGTATACTTCCCAGTCACTTGATTGCAGGCTTTTGTCCAAATTGACTCGTAGAATATAATCCGCATAAGCGAGAACGCGCACACATGCGCATGCATGAATACGCCTAGAAAATACAGAAAGTATGTGCCAAATCGGCGCAACAGAAACAGGATTCCATCCATCCCCTGGATTCACCTGCGTCTCAGAAAAGCAAAGGTCGTTTTTCGTCCGCGATTAACTCCCTAGAGATCCCTCATATGAGGGAGATCCGTGGGTTGAGTCTTGAAGCGTTTTGGATGAATTCCAAAACTCCAAAATTAAACCTCAGAAAAGAGTGTCGTGTTGTAACTCGTGAATTCGTACCATACCTCGAGCTCGTTTTTTGGCTTGAGCCATGCACATTATTTATAGATAACGTTCTCCGCAGATATAGAATGTTCTCCGCGTCTTCATTCATTTTTCGCGTAGTTTCTACAAAATCATAGCAGGTGGTTCATGTTTTTGCCTCGCAACTGATACGTAGTGTGCTTGTAGACTCCTCACAAGCTGACACCTGTGAGACGATTGGGAATTAGTCACCTCCATAGCAATGCCGTTTGCCTCCAGACGGCGCGTAGAGATCGCGTTCGCCTTTCTATATCATTTCGTTATCCAACTTGATCTCCTCCGCTCACTGTTTCTTCGATTTGCGTAGACTATAACAATGTTAGCTGTGTCTTGCACTCCTGCACTATAGACGCATAAAAGTTACCTTCAATCCTCATGTAAGATCTCGCTGCTACCGCATTACGCCTAGAATCGCACCTTATCAGATTTTTTGCTTGAACAAAGTTATGCTTCTTATTTTACGCAGTACACTTCAAACGCCGAACTTTACATCTAGATGAGGCAACCTTAACTCCAGTTGGATATTATGCCTTCTCCGATCTCTCAGTACTTCCGCTATCTTTGGGTACGATGTGAAATACAACCACAAGAATGCCGAGATATAAGCAAAACTCGGGACGTCAGGTTTGGTTCGAACCTGCGATTATCGTTTCCATAGCTCACGTTTCCACTACACCAACCGAGTTCTTTGCATTGCCTTTCTCTCAGCCAATTTTGATTTACAGAAAGGCAAGGAAACGCTTCGGTTGGTGTAGTGTGTAGCACTGAGAGCATCTTTGGTGAACATCGGCCAATTAAAGGCATTGCTTACTATGGTGTGATAACAGCATGATAATATCAATTACTGTTAGACAAATTTTTTTTGCCTTTCCATAACGAATGAATTAGTCCTCAAATGTTCCAGTGTTTTTTTTTCGAAACTGAATAGATTCTCATTTACCTTTCGTCCCGGCATGATACCTTTGCCGCAAGTTATTCTTAGGCTAAGGTTATCCGGTCATGTTCAGAGGGTTAAATGTCATTTGTGCTTTGAATACGCCGTTTTTTTTCTCTTCAGGAAAAAATACGTTAGTAGTGAAATATCTTGCAATTACTGAATTTTCCAATTCATAAGAGCCGTTATTCCAGAAAACACTGATAACGGTCTAAATACGGTGACACCCGTCCACTATGATGATAACGAAATAATTTGAAAGCCTAAAAATTGGAATCTCTTTTACTTTAAGAACATGCAGATTTAATTTCACGTTGTAAGTTCTCAATATACATCTAAATACTATGAAGCCATTCTGCATAAATTGACACATATTCTTAATATTAAGCATATGTCCATCTCTATTCTATACCCACTTCTAGTTATGCTTCTCTGTTACAGCGCCAGCTTCATCACAGCTTGGTTAACTCCATCTGTAGATTATTCCTCTACTGCACAAAATACTGGCGTTTCTAGCGCAGTGGTGGAAGGCGCCCTGCAATATACATGGGATCGATCCTCGCGCCTAAGGCTTACCAAGCTTTCCATCCCTCCGGGGTTGGCAAATTGGTACCAGACTTGTCTGTGAGGATAGCGGCACTGGCTCGATACATTGGTAGACCACCGTGAGTCAGTGTAAAGGCCAGATATGCATTCAATCACCTCCAAACGATGCTTAATGAAGTCAAATGCATGGGCATTCCTCAGTGATTGATCATCGCAGACAGCTTTATCCTTTTTTTTAACTATTTTTTTCACTATACAAAATAAAACTTGCCTAGATTTTGAATGAGCGCACGAGCAATCCTTGCCCTACTGCTGCATGACACATCCCACTCCTTATGGAATACGTACTCTTGGTTTCTGGTCCTTGGTGTGCTTCAGGTTGTTCCCTTTAGCGCTCGAAGCGAACGGACATAGATTATATGTGACTCATCTTGGTTCCACCTGTTTCTTTTGCTGCGTAGATAATTTTTTTTACAAAAATTTTATAAGGTTAAACATTGTGACTTCGACTGCAACTTCAGCTTGACTAGGTCCAGTGCCGATTTGTGCTCCCTAGCCCATTCCCGTTGACGGATGATTGCTGACAGCACCGATAGAGTGGAAATACGGCTGAGAGAAAGGAAAAGCAAGAGCCTCGGTTGGTGTAATGGAAAACACATGAGTCCTGGTAAGGATAATCCTGGGTTTGAGGCCCACCTAAGGTTCCAAGTTTTCCTCACGTTTCAGCATCCTTGTAGCTGTACGTCACATCATGCCTTGCCATGAAAAAATAATGGGCAGTCCGCAAAGATTGGACATTTTGTATTTAATTGGCAGATTCTTCACCATTAATAGACTAGGAGCTGGTTCAAAAGAGTTATTTCGTACACACTAAATCATATTTACAAGGAATCGTCCAAGGGTTTCCGTTACATTAGACCGTTAGTGGTAAAGCAGATGCAGTATTATCTCCGTCGCTGAGAATACTGTAGATAAGAACTAACAGAATAGTTCTGCCGCATAAATACAAGTACCTGTAAGTTCTGCGATGACTGTTTGCCTTTTATATCTACTTAGTAACAGAGGGGCGCACGTAGCGCAGTGGTTCGAGGCGCCCTACGGTACACATGATATCCGTCCCGCTCCTTAATCTCACCAATCCTTCTTTCCTTCCATGGTCGGAAAATTGGTACTAGACCTGTTTGGAAGGATAGCAGAACCGGCTCGATACATCGGTAGGTTACCGCGAGTCATTGTTCAAGCCAGATATGCACTCAATCATCTCTAAGACGTTGCGAATATAGTCGAATTCATGGCGCATCCCTCAGGAATTAATCAGCGCCAAGAACCTCATCCCTTACCTTCCAACCCTATAAGTTGGGTGATTCCTGACGTCTGGAATAGCTGGGCAACCCCGAGCACACGGTGGACAAGGGCATGTATCGATTACGTCCGCCCATTTTTTGCAGAGGTTGCGCGGTTTCGTGCTAGAGCATGCTATCGATCGCACCACTT